AAGCATTTTATTGATATTATACTTTTACACGACGCGCGACGGGCAGGGATAATTTTCCGAATTGGAATTTAATTTGATCTGTCCAATTATTTATGTTATATGTGTTTAAATTATATTAGTATGAATAAAAACATTTCAGATATTATAAAAATAATAAACACATCTAGCATGAATTTACTTACCAACGATTTTCCTTTGTATTTTGACGGCATGCGGAAAATTTCTTTGACGCTGCGAACGACACTGAAATTTCCAACGTCCACAAGACCAACTTTTGCGGTGACTTTATCGATTACCTCTAACACTTCTCCACGATACCTGGAAAACCGAATTTTTGTAGAAAAAAATGTTTAACATATTTCCAAATTTTGTTTATTTTACCAACTAGGACTGAAGTACACGATACATGGCATATTAACACTGACAGATTTAACACATTCGAATGTTTTACTGTCTTCGAAGATTTTATTCTCCAATTTTAAGAATTCAAGCCGACTATCACATGTGTGTACTGAATACTTCGAAGAAGATATTTTTTCGGCGACCCAAACCTAGTGATTATCATCAAATTAAGTTAAATAATAATATGAATAACTGTAATGTATAAGAGGTATAAAAAGCGGTAATAACAAACCTGAGTGACAACATCCAACGGTGGTTTGTAGTACTTTATCACGCATTTTTCAGAATCTTCGTCTAAAAATAAAAACACAGCATATATTAATAAATATAAATTATACTGAAATCTTAGATAATTCTACCACAATTGGTGTATACACCGTTTTGAATATTTTGTCCAACATTTCCATTGCATAAAAGTTTCTTTATATCCTTATTTAAATTGCATTGTGTACTGGCTGATATCAATACAACTTTGTTTTCTTCAGTGATAGAGTCCTAAAAACAAAAAATTCTAATTAAAAAACGGGTAAGTAAGTGGATGTTGCTCTGCTATACGGTAGGTTACAAATGGGTTACTGTAATGGATGGTATTACATTTGAATCCAATGATATGATATATCATCGGCGCAACCCATTTGCGCCCGAACTCATATATCGTAGCCCATTTGCACCCCAAACCATAGCACATATGCGCCTGATTCAGATCAGGTGAAAATCGTGCAACGTTGCCATTTATTGAGTATACTGGTTTAAYCTTAGATCATATACTATGGATGGAGCCATGGCCTGATATTTGAAGCACATATAAGCGACAAGTCTCTCCTTGAGATTCATTATCTGCGCATGCGCGAGTATACTCGTAGCATATTTATTCTAATGTTTTTAATTCTCCCAGGGAACTCATAAGTAAAAACTAAAAATGATTGTTTAATGATGTCATAGATCATCTACGAGTATACTCGCGCATGCGCAGATAACGAATCTCAAGGAGAGACTCGTCGCTAATATGTGCTTCAAATTATTTACACAKGCGAGATAGGCCATGGCTCCATCCATAATATATGGTCTAAGGGTTTAACTATAAAATTTTAAATAATATTTGATCGTTTCCCTAGCTAATCGAAACCAATATCCAAATTGATAAAGATAATAATATTTTGTCG